AAGATAAAGATAACTTCCCGATTCTTGTGCTATCTTTATATATACCACAATTATCCTTATCTCGGTTTGTATTATCAATATTATTTTATTCAGCCAGTCAGTCATGACCACAGTCAGTCATGACCACATAGAAATGTCATTCATGTTTTATTCTGTCTTTATTTCCGTTTTTCTACGTTTTTATTGACTTATGTTCATCATGGCGGGGGAAAAGATTTATTCAAATTGCTGAGTCAATATCGGATCTCCGAAATTCTCGTCACTGAAGATTCTATTTTAGTGACAATTATGGAGTATCATAATGCGGTTCGCGTTAGACTTGACTGGAAAGTGGATGGGAACGTTAACATCTTGCTTACAGTAAGACGAGCAACATCATGACATCCGGTAGAGTACGCGACACAAGTGAATAGCTATGCGTTATCCGCAGCGTAAACTCGTAATGAGATACGTCAATTGCGTATACACACGCACACGCGACCGTTTCTCGTGCGCTAGATGCAACCGACGAGTGTCACAATAAACTAATTCGACGCGAATAATCTCAATTAGCCGATTTTGCAATTTAACCTTCTTGCAATTCATCTGTTATCCGTTAGTGTATTATCTAATGCTTTACGTATGTATCGCAGGGATATTCTTCCGAGTATCTTTTCCAAAATTTGTTTTTTGTCAGCTGCGCGTTTTCTCTTTTACGTCCAGTTCTGGGTATTATTTTCTTATCAACAACAATGTAAACGTTCTTCTTATCAACGACAATGCAAACGTTCTTCTCATTGATAAATTGTGACAAATGAAGAAATCAAGCTACTTAAACTCGTATCCACAGAATGCTGGAGTCGAAATCTTTGCCGAAAGAATATTGACTTTCTTCTGAAAAATTTACGTTGTACTGGCTGCATAGAATTACCAACGTTCTTATATAATAAAAATATATGTGAGAATGAATTGGAGCATTGCTTAATATGCGACAAAAACAAATATATGACAGAAAGCTTCAAAGTTGACGTTTCGAGTGTAAATTAGCCTGTTAGTGTTTTCAGTTAAAATAAATATTCGCCTGAGACAAAAGATCCATTTGTATGTATTGAACGCGAGTTTGCTCTGCTCAGAAAAATTTTAAAGAACATAGCTATATTTTTGCATCTGAATTCTGAAGCTTAAACAAATTGGAGGAGTTTGCAGAAAGATTTCTACATATGCATGGTCAGGTCTTCCACTAAATAAACAAAGCAGCATATATTCAGTAAGATAAGAAATATAAAAAAGATAGCGTGTTAGTGACGATTGTCTTTACGTTATCGATATTTTTAGAATTCGTCATCGACTCACCAGTATAATAGTCACCACTTGAAACTCAAGTAAGATACTTAGATTTGAGTTTAGAGTTAGATAAAAGTGAATCACTATTACAGATTACTGTCATGTAAAAATAATATTTCTAACTATAATCTTTTTACTATGTCATTATAGTTCGAAATATCATACATTTTTCTTTCAGTGTATATCAAAGCAACTTATTGTTACACTAACCCGTAATTTTTTCAATATTTCTTTGGCGAGGCAAGTGACGGCCGATCTTGTCGAGCCAACTACTTTTTTTCTTAGTGCAGAAGCGATTGTCGATACATATTTCCACGCTCTGATCCACGGTGAAAGAGGCAAATCGCGGCTCGGGGCACCTCGTAACGCAAGAAGCAGTAGCGGAGTGCACTTTCAGGCGGCTAGTTAACGTCTCTCATTGTGCTCCGTTTATGACCGTAACGGAAAGCGGCCGTGGCTGCCTTTGTCGTCGTCGTCGACAGGAAGGACAGTAAACTCCATGCACGGAATTATAAGCTCCCCCACCCCTCACTGCGCCCGTTCCTTTCGCGATTACGGATTTAGCGCGGCGAAATTGAACTATCATTGGCACGAGATAAGCGACCTCTTGTTTGTGACCCTGTTTATCGCGCGCGCGCGCGCGCGATACCACGATGCATTTGATAACGCTCGATGTCCTATTTCTTCGCCGTTGCATATTGTGAAGGAACATGTTGCCATTAGGGCCTAATGTTTTGTCTATGATGAAAAATTACATTGGCATAATGAGCCACGTATACAACAAATTACGTTCTACCGGACGTTACGAAAGGTCATCCTTCATTAGTTACGTTCACTCGTCATTGGCAGTTCCATAAATCATGCGGCGCACTCTGCCATTAGCGACGCTTTCCATTCGGCAATGGCTGTCGCGATCGTTGAACCGGCGATCGTTTCGCCTTCGATTGACTACGTAAAACTCCGCGTTTATTGCTCAACGATTAATTTAGATGGTTACGCAACGATGGGCGCAATTACGCGGCTTGTTCTAAAATAAGGTAGCATATGGACAATAGTGACAATACTGATAGTTTGAGGATGATGGATTTACGCGTTTGAAATATTAAAAAGAAAAAAAATATCGCAGTGCCCTTAGTTAGTATCTAGGTAAAAGAGATTGTTCGAGGGTAAAAATGACACTTGGACAATAAATTAGTATAATTAACTGCTGTCTCGGATTTTTTTGGAATATTTTTGCGACCTAGTTTTGCCTCTTTCCCTTTGAAATTTTGTAAAACTTTAAATATTATAATAAATACTACATCGATATTTAAGATTTAGGACGAGAAATATTAAGAATATAAAATCTTGATATTAAACCTCGTAGTCGTTTGAGAGATGAACGTTTCAAAGGATTTCAATCTTAACAAACAGCCATATTATTGAGACTGCAACTTTTTGGAGACCGTTTATTTTTCAATTACGAGAATAAGTATCGAGGTTTTAAATTTTTACTCTGCTCGACATAAGCTTGAAATCGGTCAAATTTCGTCCCTTTTCGATAAGATCTTGTAAAAGTTTGAATAAGTTAGATCTTGTAAATTATTGAATAAATTATACACCGATTTAAAGCTTAAGACGAGTATAGATATTAGGAACATGAAATTTCAATATTATGCTCGTAGTAGTTTGGGAGAGAAATCCAAACGACGGTCCAAAAGATTGCAATCTCAATAGTATGGTTGTTTGTTGAGATCATCTCCCAAACGGCTACAAGAATATTTAGATTTTATATTCTTTATTTACTCGCTCTAAGCTCAATAAGCAGCCGTACTGAGATTGCAACTTTTTGGATCTTTATATATATATATATATATATATATATATATATATATATATATATATATATATATAATATTATAATGTATACGTTATATATTATATATATTTATTCTTAATTTACTCGACATATATATAAATTTTAAATTGGCGTATTATTAATTGGTATATTCAAAGTTTTTTAAAAGAGAAGCAAAAATATCTATGTAAATATATTTGGCCGCATTTTTTCATCGATAAATGCCGGGGTTGAAAATTCTGAAAATTTGATGTTTTTTTTTGAACAAATGAGCTAAATACCACCGCAAGCTCCTCTCAATTAATCAGAGTTACAATGGTATCAACAGGCAATGAGATCGACGGTCTGGTGTCTAGGAGTCGCCGCTATCGTTAAAATGTCAACGTATATCGCGCGTTTGGTGGTAACGGTGACTCGCGGCTTTAGAAAGAAAGAAAGAATTACTTCGCTCCGTTTATTTCCCGCCAGCCGCTCGACCGCAACGATGCGTGCGCGACGATGTGCGCGAGCCGCATTATGACATCACGCAGGAATGTGTGGATCGTGGGATGTGACTCACGCGATACCGAGTCGTTCTTTTGGTAGTTTAATAGTCCGGTTCGATACGAACTTTCGTCGCGACCAGCTCTCGATTAATCCGACCAGTGTACAATCGAGGTCAGTAAAGTTGTCATCCTTCCTCTCATGAGTTTAGGAACGCATCCGTCTTGTTCAGCGGGAGGATTCTCCCAGTGGAAAACAAATTGTTCCATTGGACAAGACGGACACGTCTCTAAACTCTCACGAGAAAAAGGGTGACGACCTTTCTGCCCGCGATTGTACATATTCGCGGTTGTTGCAGTGACAAGTGAGCGTAGAATAATCGTAGTCATCGAACGAGTGCGAGAGTGTTGGGAAACAAGAGTCACCTCGTCGTGGCCTTAATCGGCGATTAGCCAATCAGTAATTAATTCTTTGCTCTCTCTCTTTTCTTATAGAATTTCTTATTCGTTTATTCACATATAGTTACTTGATGAATGTGTGTACTGAGAAAAAATATTTGATATTTGTAATTATATAATGATATATAATTATTATATATATAATTATAATAATTAATAAATAACTATAATAGTAACTATAATAATAATAACTATATAATAATAATATATAATTATATTTAACATATAATATATAGTAATTTATAATTATAACTATATAGAGAAATAATTATTATAAATTATGATTAAGGGAACCACTTTTTCACTAAATTCTATTATAATATTAATGATAATAACCTTATATGCACGTTGCTACTACCATTTTATGATATTATACAAAAGATTTGGTTTAGGTTAGAAGTAACTATAATTTTAGTTGAGTGAGTCATTTTTGTCTCAATGCAGTGATTTCGGAAAGTATACGCGCGACTGTGCGCGTACGCGACAATAGGGACAACATCTGTGATTAATTGTTGTCGTGCAGCAACGTTGTCGAGCCTCTCCAGTCTAGTAGTATGTGTGACCGGTCTTGTCGAGAAAATGAGTATTCGTCTGAGACTTAATTACGGTGGGAAAGGAGCGAGTCTCTCGCATACGCGTACTCGCGCGCGCAATACGCGGCATTTTATGATGCGTGTCGTACCATTTCATCGAGCTCAGGACGCGGTTAGTCATGACCTCCGTGAAGTCTCTTAGGAAAGTCAATTAATGAACTTGTCGACTGCTCGGCACCGGCTTGTCACGCCCGCGTGAGATAACGTTCCATTGTGCATACAATGTGGTGCACCTTGGCGAACGTCTCGACCGTGTTACGAAGATATAACGCATCTTCTCTCTCTTTCTCTCTCTCTTTTTCTCTCTTTCTCTCCCTCTCTCTCCCTCTCTCATCCTCCTTCTATTGTGTCGGAGAAATTTACATAGAGCCAACGTCGATCGTGGTGTCAGAATTGTGAACAACGTCCAATCGAAGAAGCGTGTGAGACGAGAGAAGCGTCGACGCGATGGTGGATACGCAATAATTAGATGTGCGTGGTGTGCTTCATCCGGTGATGTTTCGTTTTTCCCGTCCTCATTAACATGACAATAATCGGTCAGCTGGGACCGCTGGGCCGCCGCCATCTGCGAGTGTATTAATCAACACTTCGATGATATTCGTTGCGCTGTTAGTGTCACTCGATTCTGCTAGCTAGGTTTGTGCTGCAAAGGTTCCTGAGACTCCAAAGTTTAGAGTAACGGCGAATATAACGTAACACAACGTTAAACTCGTCCGCTGAATCTCGCCGATCGACGGAGAACGGACTTAGGTAGAATATGAGCTGGTGCATCTTCGAATCTCTTCCGCATATTACGTTCCGCGAATTTCAAACTGAAATATTTAGCTAACGAAAGAGAGAGAGAGAGAGAGAGAGGCAGACAGAGGATAGAAAGAGAGAGGCGGAACGGTAAAGAAGGAGGGGACGATTCGTGCGTGAAAGCGCGGAGGAATGTGAAATCACGGTTACTGTCGCTGGCATGCCAATTATGCGTGCGGACCGAGATACCTTGTAATCGCGACGTGAGCCCGCTGGAAAACAGTGGCTTTTACTTGAAGCCGACCACTAGGAGTCGCATCACAGCCGGATGGCCAGCGAATCTTTTTTCCCCTCTTTTTTCAAAAATACAAAGGCACGGGCAGGGCTAACCCAATCGGACACAATCGAATGTTTCGTTTCGATACGTCACGTTCGCGATGCGGACATACCTCAGGAAGGCAGGTCATGTCCGTCGAACGTCGATGGACTGGTCGATGGAAGTCCCGGTGAGAGGAGCCCTTTCCGGAGCTTTAAACCGTGACAGTCGTGCAGTCAGTTTCACGTAGGCTGCTCAAAGAGATCTATTTTTATTTGCGAATTTGTGCGGCGGAACTCCACCGTGTCTCTGGGAGAACGTTCTTCGATAAAACACTTCCATCGAGGCGAATTGATTCATCAACATTTCCGTGTCTGCAAACTTGACATCATTGTAAACTAATCTACGCCGCCATAACAATCATTGTCACACCGTAATAATAATAACAACGTCGAATACTTGACAAATATTCCGTGAATTCGTGAATGCGCGAGTTGGATTCGAAACGTCTCAATAAACAAACTCCAAACTAATTAGATTAAACCACTACAACTAGATTAACCACAATTATTCGCATCCCCCTTAATCATTAGATTATTATTATATGGTTAGAAAAATCTGATTTTTCACGACCCTTCAACCAGCATTGCAGTTAAGCTTTTTACCTACACTTCATGTGATTCCAAAAAAGATCCTCGCAACTAAAACTGTGAAAAAATGTCGCTGGTCGCCAGGAAAACCTGGTTTTTCTTGAGCGCCAATGACTATTGCCCGTTTCTACCAACATTAATTAAATTTTAATTTGCATTTAAGCTCTATTTGGATAAAGATTTAAACTCAGATTAATACTTAATCGACATTTTGGTAGAAATATGCATAGGGGGAATACCAATTATTGTGTGGTTTACCTTATACAAAGGAAAACAGAATGATTTTCTGAATTTAGTGTACTCTTTTCTTTTTCTTTTTTATATTCTCTCGCTACCTTATAATCTGCACAAAAATAAATTTCTCGGGAAATTCGTTAGCGTGAATTCGAAGGAAAAGGTAGACGATCGAGAGTTGGCGGCAGGATAGTAGACAGACCAGGTCGAAAAGGTCCTTCTCCCCACTACCATCAGTGTCCAGTGAGCGCCATAATTCGGCCCGGGGTCCCAGAGAGTGATAGTCCCATCTCTGTGAGGTCATCTCTCCACACTACTAACGCGCTGGGTCGTCCACCAACAGGACCATCACGATCACTCCCTCTCTCTCGCACATGTACGACGATGCACTCACGCTGTGTCTCTCTCTCTCTCTCTTTCCTTCTCTTTCTCTTTCTTATCCAGTTTCCTCTCGCGTTGTCCCTCTCCCTCTCTTACACGCGCGTATTATTGTCAGACGGGAGTGCGGGTGGCGAGGTCCGTTCTCTCCTCCTTCCCCGTCGCCTTTTACACCACCACCACCACCGCCAGCACGACCACCTCCTTCCTCCTCGTGGACCTAACACGTTCGAATTAGTCGTCTCGTTAACCAGACCCGTGGCGCACCGAGGAGTCCGGGCGCGTACATCGCTTGACCGATTCTCGCCGTATGAGCGTGCTGCGAGAATCGCGCGAGTTTTACGAGTCGCGCGTCTAATCGTCGCAGTCGATAGTGTAGTGGAAAGTTCATTCTCTTATTAAGAGTCCTTCGCGATTACCCGATGGTTCGATCACTTGCTAATGTCATCGATACGGTATAACGTTGTTATCGCAATCTTATCGTCCTCTGACCCGACTCAGACTGATCGCCGACCGTGATACGACCTTGAATAGATCGACCCGCTGACTCCACTCGAATCGTGTACCTGCTGACATTTCCGATCCGAGAAACGTCGACCCGAGACGACGTCCGCGCTCTCCCACGTTCATCGCGCGCGTCAACCGAATACCGGTTCAAAGGGAACATTGAACTGGAGCAAAGTCTCCGAGGCGGATGATACCGCGTCGACGGTACCCGTCCAACTTCGGCGCTCGCTCGTTGCCGTGAGCCCCGGGACGAAGTTTGGACCGGAATCCCGCGGAATCCCACCTGCAATCCGCCGGCCGATTCGTAAGCGGCGCCCTGCTCGCTCACGTGCTCGCGTACGCAGTGGGAGAGACGTCTCGTGATAGCTCGCAATAGCAACGAATGTGCTCGGACGATCGTTTCCTCAGTATTGCGTGTTCCTCGGCGACGATCGATCCGGCACAGGTGAATCGTGCGCCACGAGGCGTGTCCTCGTCATCGTCGTCGTCGCTCAGAGAACTATCGGCCGTTGCCGGACGGTCGTACGGTCCGTTGGTTGAAGCGAGAGCGTTCCGGCGGACGTTCCGCGGAGAGGGAGAAGGACACGTAATGAGGTCTACTTGGAGCGAAAGAGAAATGAAACGCGGAGGAAGAGGTGGACGACATTGAGGGACGAGGGACGAGGAAGGGACAGCATCTGCAATAGGGGGGGGGGG